TTGCGGCGCCGCCCAGCGCCGCCCGGCCAGCGCGCCCAGGCCCCTTCCCGCAGGGGGACCCGGTCATCGCAGGTGAGCTTACCTGGGAGCAGATGAGGAGACCAAAGCCCAGCGGGGTGGCAAGGCCGCTTAGTGCCAGTGTCAGGAGCCCCAGGCGTCTGTGAGGGGCAGAGTCTGGCAGGGTGAGCTCACGCCCGGCAGCGCTTCCCTCTGGCCCAAGAACTCACCACTGGGACACAACCGGCGCTTCCAGGCAAACTGCACATCGGCCCTCCATACCTGAGGAGACACAGCCCTCACCCCCTCCTCCTGGGGAGCTGAATAACGCCCTGGGGGACAGGTGTGCAGAAGAGGAGTGAGAGGAACATGTTCAGAATGAGTGGCCTCCTTACCAGCACACAGCCCCTGGTCTCAGGAAAGGATGATGAGGTCTAGTGCCACTGGGCCTGAGCCCTGAGTCTGTCAGGACAAAGAGCAGAATGACTGTCCCCACACGGGCAAATATGACTGTGCCTGGCACTGCTCCTCCCCACCGACCTCCATCCTATAGCCAGGTGTGAGGTCAAGTGTCATCTTGGACAAGAAGACTTTCCCAGCCACTCCATTCCACTCTGATCTTTCCCACATACCAACTCCTGCTGCATTAGAGTCTAGCGTTGACATACCCCCCCCACACACACACACAATGCCTACTGTGGAACCTGCCCTGAGAAAGCAGGCTGGCTCAGTGTCTCCCTCCAGCCGCTCATAGACTAGGGAAGATAATCTTATGCGCTTCTCTTCTCTCTTCTACACAGCTGAGGTGGCACCTTGTCCACTGGGAAGAATGTGAGCCGTGGAGTCTCAGGAATCCTAGCTGTATGAGCCATGCATGGAGAAGGGTACCTCTCCTCCCCGAGCCTTAGTTTGTTTCTTCATTTGTGTGTGGGGGTCATAATACTAGATTGTGAACTCCTGAAGGGAAGACTGCTAGATGCTTTTCTTCTCTCTCCTAAACCCTAGCAGCATGGGCAGAATAGAAGCTGACTTGGGGTGTCACAGTCTGCACTGACTTCTACTTAATACTCCAGACCTGTGTCAGACGCTACTCTCCAGCCAGCTTCATGGCTGAATTCAATGAAGTCTTTTCCCAGCTCACAGACCACACAAGTCAACAGACTGAAGTCTCTGTGTTTAAGTTACCCCACATGGGTCGATCTTAAGTCTGAAGTGTGTCACCACTGCTTGGGAGCCTTATAGGATGCAAAGCACACAGACAAGCGGCAGATTAACATTTAAGAGGGAACCGCAAAAGCTAGTCAAGCTTAGTCAGCTTGTGCCATGGTTTTGTGGGTGCATCTATTTGTGATTTTTTTTTTGGTCCGGTCGTGGGGACTGAACTCTGGGCCTGGGTGCTGTCCCTCAGCTCTTCAGCTCAAGGCTAGCGCCCTACCACTTGAGCCACAACACCACTTCCGGCTTTTTTCTTTTTTTGCTTATGTGGTGCTGAGGAATCGAACCCAGGGCCTCAGGCATGCAAGGCAAGCACTCTGCCACTGAGCCACCTTCCCAGCCCCCTCAGAAGAATCTGCTGGCCAATCTGTTCTTAGACCAGTAACAGAGTTAAGTTAGGATGCAAAGTACTATGCAGCTAGCTCCTCGCTGCCCTGCTTCTTGAGTCAGAGGAGTTCTGCCCAGAGCCTTATGAAGGCAGGAGAGGGGGCAGAGGACAGCTGGGCTCAGGGATGGTATCCGTATACAATATGCAGCAGCCTGGGTAGACTAGGGAACAGCTGGACGTGAGAGGGTCAGTCTCTAGCCTCTGGTATCCCTCTCAGCGGAGGCACTAAAAGACATAGAAAACTGTCCCAGCCAGGACCTCTCTGACTGACAGATCACCAGATGCACAAAAGCTGAGGAAGCAAATGAATTAACAGATGATAGAACCACTTGTCTCCCAGAGGTGACAAAGAGATTTCGGCCACGCTCTGACCAATGAGATCTCATGGGAGCCAAGCCTGGCTCGGCCATACCTGGCTGACACTGTACACAGGGGCCACCGTGGCGTCCAGCTCTGAGCCTGGGTGGCTCCAGGTGGCACTGAAGGTGGCACGCATCCTCAAGGAGAAGTGGAGAAGCGGCTGCTGGGCCCGGATGCCCACGCTCACATTCCAGATGGTTTACTGGAGATAAGAGTCTCACGGACTTTTCTGCCTAGACTGGCTTTGAACGTGATCCTCAGATCTCAACCTCTTGAGTAGCTAGGATGACAGGTGTGAGCCACCAGTGCCCGGCTCATCTTTTTGACCTAGTCTTACAATGCTTAGCACACCTGGGCTTAGCAGCAGGCTGATGGATGGGTGGATCTGGCAGTCTTATCCTCCACTGACTCCAGAAAAGCCTCCTGTTTAATGTGCAGCAGGAGAGAGAGGGGGCAGGAGGGAGGGAGGAAGAGAGACAGTGCCGGTGGCTCACACCTGTAATCAGGAGGCTGAGAGCTGAGGATCACTACTCCAAACCAGGGAGGAAAGTCCATGAGACTCTTTTTTTTTTTTTTGGTCCAGTCGTGGGGCCTGAACTCTGGGCCTGGACGATGTCCCTCAGCTCTTCAGCTCAAGGTTAGCGCTCTACCACTTGAGCCACAGCGCCACTGCTGGCTTTTTTCTTTTTGCTTATGTGGTGCTGAGGAATCGAACCCAGGGCCTCAGGCATGCAAGGCAAGCGCTCTACCACTGAGCCACCTTCCCAGCCCTCCATGAGACTCTTATCTCCAATAAACCACCAGAAAACCGGAAGTGGTACTAGGCTCAAGTGTAGAATGCTGTCCTTGATCAAAATAATCTCAGCAGCAGCTCACAGGCCCAGAGTTCAAGCCCCACAGCTGACGGGGGGAGGGGTAAGGCAATACAGGCTTCAGGCCAGCTCCAGAAGGGGCACTTTTTTGGCCTCACGGAGTCCTCCTGCAGGTAGGAGGCCTGCGGAGAACAGGAAAGCATTCAGGGAGGAGCAGGGCATGGCTTTCACTGCGCAGTCCTAGCACACAGGCAGCTGTAGCTTGCTGTGGTACAAGCTGCCCGGGCTGAGGGGACTCTGAGGGGACGCAGTGTAGAATGTGGATGGGGACAGGGAGGAACTGCAGAGCTGAGGACAGAGCAGCAGGGGAGGGGCTGGCTCATTTTCTCTCCCGAGGGAAATCAGGAGGTCTACATTCCTCAGCTGTTAACTTTTCCTGGCCTCTCCTCTCAGCCATTTCCAAGGTACCCAGAGCTCTGGGTTGGCCCTTCACTCTGGACTGCCCAAGTGCCCACCCGTTGTCTACCGGAGCAGTGGCTTATTGTGTCAGGTGTCTGTGTGTTCCCCCCTGTTGGTCTCTTAAGTGACAAGGCCCTCTGCCTTTTTTATTCTATAGTCCATGGAAGTCTTTTTTTTTCTTTTTTTTTTTTTTTTGGTCTATTGTGGGTCTTGAACCCTGGGCCTGGGCGCTGTCCCTCAGCTCTTCAGCTCAAGGCGAGTGCTCTACCACTTGAGCCACAGCGCCACTTCCGGTTTTCTGGTGGTTTATTGGAGATAAGAGTTTCATGGACTGGGCTGGGAAGGTGGCTCAGTGGTAGAGCGCTTGCCTTGCATGCATGAGGCCCTGGGTTCCATTCCTCAGCACCACATAAGCAAAAAGAAAAAAGCCAGAAATGGTGCTGTGGCTCAAGTGGTAGAGTGCTAGTCTTGAATCTGGTGGTGGTGGCTGTCTATTTATTCTGCCTCTGTGGACTGAAGCCAGTCGGGTCCAGGAAGAGCTGGGTCTTGGGGGCGGGAGCATCCCGAGGCATGGTGTTGGGTCGTCCCTTCACCCCTGGCCGCGTGTGGCTCACAACCAAGCGGGTGCCAGGCTTCCTAAGCATCTCAGCAACCCCAGCCCTTTTGAGTTTGGGTTTGGAGATGTAACCAGCGCTTCAAGCATGCTCCGTGCACCTAGTCATTTCCAAACCTGACTCAGTGGAGATGCGCTTGGCTGAGGAGCCAGGGCGGCTCCCCATGTTTCTCCCAGCTCACCTCATGCACAGGCAGGGCAGAAGGAATTCATAGGGCAGGTCTGCAGTCCGGCCCCCAGACACAACTGCCTACAGATGAAGCAGCAAAGGAAGAGAAACAGAGACACGTCAGGAAAAGCACAGGCGAGGGCAGGAGGGCGTGGGGAACTCCGCAACGTGCGCTGTTTTTCCTGAGCTGGGACAGGTTCTCCCGTGCTCCATGTGGAGCGGTGGGGAATTAGATGGGAGGAATACGCATGCATGGAACTCCAAGTATATGCCAGGCAGGGTGCTAGAAGCACTTAATCAAATGGTAGCACCACAGTGGAGTGATGGTTACAGCTGAGGATTGCTGAGGGCCCTCATAGCTGGAGTACAGCCTTCAGTCTCCACAAATGATAGCAGCTTTGAGAAGCGGAGGTTAAAGTGCTGTTAGGGCGTGCTCAGGGGACTGGGAGACATTTTGTTCTTTCATTCTCTGAAAGGCAAAAGGAGGGTGGCAGAGGATGGGTAAAAAGACCTATGTGACCACCTTCTACTCTCTGAGTGGAACTTCAAAGGCTTTGGCTGTATTTGAACACAGGGTCTCATGCTTGCTAGGGAGGCGCTCTGAGAAGGTTTTCCAATAGGGCCAGACCCGCTGAGGATCCTTGCAGCTCTCTGTTCAGCATTTCCAGTAACTCCAAAAGGGACTGCCCCTCTTTCCTCTCTTCCTGAGACTCCCTGTTTCTTTCTGTTTAGCACCCAAAAGACATAATGGCAGACACCTTACCTTGAAGGTCACTCACACAGTGACCCATCAAGGTCTCAGTTGTCCCATGTGTGCCAGTATTGAGGTCTGGCTTTTTTGGGGGGGTTTGAACTCAGGCCTGAGTGCTGTCTCTGAGCTTTTCTTCTTGTTGTTGTTCAAAGCCAGCATCCTACCACTTGAGCTACAGCTCCATTTCTGACTCTTTTTTTTGGGGGGGGGTTAATTAAAGAGTTTCACAGATTTTATTGCCTGGGCTAGCTTTGAACCATGATCCTCACATCTCAGCCTCCTGAGAAGCTAGGATTACATGCGTGAGCCACTGGCACCCAGCAAGAGATCTGACTTTTTACAGAAGCATGCCACTCCATACCTGGGCATCAAAAGGACTGCTCAGCTCTTCACATTCCAGTGCCCACTGGTGACAAAGACGCACACTGGCCGTTGGGCCTGGTGAAATGGTCACCTGAATAGTCCGTGCCATGGGCAGCAACTCAAAGGAGAATTCAGGTCCTGGGGGTGGCAGGGTGAGACTCAGGGGGCCTGTCTCGTGTGCTTAGGATGAGCGTGGCTACTCAGAGGAAGCCCTCTCTTGTCTCTGGGCTTTTGCGAGCCAGGTCTGGGAAGAGGTCCCACTCCTGTGGATCTGAAGGCCGGGTCCTTTTGGAGCGCAGCCTCTTGTGGGAGACATCTGGGGAGGGGTGGAAATGTGACGGCCTTTCTCTGATGGGGAATGGCTACTCTGCAGCTTTCTCTGTAAGGCTAGAACAAAGATGGCCTTAGGCCAGGAATTAGGATACCTAGCTTCTTCCATTTCTGCCGCTGGAACCCAAGGAAGCACAGGCAAGATGTTCAACCTCTGTTGGCCTCAGTTTCCTTGAATGTGTCATTTGCACATTTTCAATCTCCCTTATGTGGCTGAAGAATATAATGAGAGGTGGGAACACAAGGTGGGACTGGGCCTGGCAGGGAGAGTATCTGAGAAGGTGCTGGCGTCCTGTGTCTCTGATAGAACTTGAATTTGCAAGACTTTTTGGATTTCTACACCAGGAGGTAGAACAAGCCCCACCAAAGGCCTGGACAGGAGAGGACACATTTACTACCAATTCTTCATGGCCTCTGCCCTACCAGGAGATGTGCCCCAATGTTAAATGGAAGATCATTTTAAGTCAAGGACAATAATGATGTCAAATTTCTTTAGTGCTTTAATGTATGATGAAATTGAAAGCAATACATACACCCATTCCCTTATATATGCTTTATAGCTTTATTTCTAACAGTTTAGAAACTTCCAACTCGTGTGTGTGTGTGTGTGTGTGCCAATCCTGAAGCTTGAACTCAAGGTCTGGGTCCTGTCCTTAAACTTCTTTTGCTCAAGGCTAGCACTCTACTTCAGCCCCTGCTTTTCTGATTGGCTTTGAACTGTGATCCTTCATTCTAAGTAGCTAGGTTTACTTTCATGCCCAGCAAAACTGCCAACTTAACCAGAATATTTAGTACACAACTAAGTGAGATGATAAAAACGGAGTTGAATACCAAGATCCTACTCTACAAACAAAGTAATAACAGCACACTCAGGGAATCCAAACACTTTAAAAGTTGGTACCACCACGTGCTGGTGACTCACACCTGCATTAATCCTAGCTACTCAGGAAGCTGATATCTAAGGATCATGGTTCAAAGCCAGCCTGGGCAGGAAAGTCCCTGAGACTTCTTTTTTTGTCAGTCGTGGGGCCTGAATTCTAGGCCTAGACACTGTCCCTCAGCTCTTCAGCTCAAGGCTAGCGCTCTACCACTTGATCCACAGTGCCACTTCCGGCTTTTTTCTTTTTGTTTATGTGGTGCTGAGAAATCGAACCCAGGGCCTCATGCATGCAAGGCAAGTGTTCTACCACTGAGCCACCTTCCCAGCCCCATAACTTTTTTTTTTTTTTGGTCAGTCGTGGGGCTTGAACTCTGGGTCTGGGTGCTGTCCCTCAGCTCTTCAGCTCAAGGCTAGGGCTCTACCACTTGAGCCACAGCACCACTTTTGGCTTTTTGCTTATGTGGTGCTGAGGAATTGAACCCAGAGCCTCATGCATGCCAGGCAAGCACTCTACCACTGAGCTACCCTCCCAGCCCCGACAATAATTCTTAAAAGGGGTCTTCCAAGGCACTGTAAAGTATATAAAGTAATAATTGAGGTTTAAACTCAGGGGCTCACACTTGCTAGGCAGGTGTACTACCAACTGAGACACAGTCCAAGTTTAAACGTTAAGGGACTGAGGGTCTGAGGGATTGGAACTGATTAGAAAGAGATGAAAGCATTTAGGTTTTTCAAAGGAATGAATGATGGTCACCTACAGCTGCACTTGGTATACTCACTTGAATAGAGACATAGGAAAAGTTGGATGCAGAAGGCAAAGTTTAAGTTTGGGACATACTGAATTTGAGATGGTCAATAGGACATCAACCCGAGGTTCTGCAGTTAGAACTTCTGCCGGTAGGTAGGAGGGGTGGTATAAGCATCATGTTCCACAAAAATGGTCACTGCAACCATGGAAAGAGTAGAATCTGGCAACTAACTATCTGGCTATCATCCAATGACATATCTTTCATGCAAAAAACATGATCAGACTTGTAGCTATTAAAGGACATTTATTTCATCAAATTATTACATCTTTGTGTGTGTGCTCGTACTGGGGCTTGAACTCTGGGACAGGGAACGATCCCTGAGCTGTTATTGCTTAAGGCTGTTACTCTCTACCACTTAAGCCACACCTCTACTTGCAGCTTTACTTATTTTTCCCAGTCATGGGGCCTGAACTCTGGGCCTGGGTGCTGTCCCTCAGCTCTTCAGCTCAAAGCTAGCGCTCTATCACCTGAGCCACAGCACTTCTGGCTTTTTCTGCTTATGTGGTGCTGAGGAATCAAGCCCAAGGCCTCATGCATGCAAGGCAAGCACTCTACCACTGAGCAACTTTCCCAGCCCCTTGCAGCTTTATTAGACTTCCCTGCCCAGATTGGCTTTCAGATCTCAGCCTCCTGAGTATCTAGGATTACAAGCAGGAGTCACCAGCACTCGGCCCCTTCCCTCGTTTTTTTTTTTTTTTGGTCAGTCCTGGGGCTTGAACTCTGGGCCTGAGCACTGTCCCTCAGCTCTTCAGCTCAAAGATAGTGCTCTACCACTTGAGCCACAGCCACAGCAACACTTCTGGTTTTCTGAGTGGTTTATTGGAGATAAGTGTGGTGGGGGAGGGGGCTGGGAAGGTGTCTCAGTGGTAGAGCGCTTGCCTCGCATGCACGAGGCCCTGGGTTTGATTCCTCAGCACCACATAAGTCAGAAATGGTGCTGCGGCTCAAGTGGTAGAGTGCTAGCCTTCAGCCGAAGAGCTGAGGGACAGAGCCCAGGCCCAGGGTTCAGGCCCCATGACAAAAAAAAAAAAAAAAACCTCATGGCGTTTCCTGTCCGGGCTGGCTTTGTACCGCGATCCTCAGATCTCAGCCTTGTGAGTAGCTAGGATTACAGGTGTGAGCCACTGGCACCTGGTGCCCTCATTTCTAATTTGTTCCACTCACCATGTTCATCGGTTGTTTTGCATGTACAGCACAGTTTCTGAGAATTTCCTCCCAAATGCCTATGTGTTAAGGGCTCAGCTGCAGGCCTCTGATGCCATTGGGAGATGGTGGAACCTTCAAGGGATGAAGCCTGGTACAAGTTACTAGTGGCCTGCCCTAGGGAGGGGATAGCAGGATTCCATCCTTTCTTTTTTTGCCAGTCCTGGGCTTGAACTCAGGGACTGGGCACTGTCCCTGAGCCACAGTACCACTTCCAGTTTTTTTTCTGAGTAGTTACATTTGCCCAGGCTGACTTCAAACTGCAATCCTCAAATCTCAGCCTCCTGAATAGCTAGGATTACAGGTGTTAGGCACTCACACCTGGCCTCAACTTTCTGAACTCCCTGGGACAGCAGCTTCCTCTGTACATGTTCCTAGCATGATAGTAACCATGCAGGCAAACCAAGAGTCTAGAAGTTTCTTGCTGCAGTACCCACAGGCCCAAGAGCAGTAGGCTAAGCAACCATGGACTGAAATCTCCAAAGGTATCTCAGAGCTACTCTAAAATTCTTTTTGATCTTACCATACAGGTTTAAGAATATAAATGACTGTTAAACACAGGTATTCAACCAAAAGAGCCTATGACCCACGCCAGATGAATGGGCACATTATGGATGGGGAGGTTACGTACCTGGCCCATCAGCAACAGGCTGTGTGATAGGGTGGAACTAGTTCTCCACACCCTGTCCTTTCTTTGTGATCACTGCCAGGTTTTGCAGGGAACCTCTAGTCATCTCCAAGCGTCTAAGGCCACCAAACAACACTTTTCACATGACCAAATCCCAAATACAGGCACAGGGTGGACAGGGCAGTCTTAGGAACTTTATTGAGGGTCTGTTAAATTGAAATGCTTTGCAGTAGAGCACAGCCTGTGGGGGTGTAATCTCTGAGGTGTTTCTTGCCTATAGACTGAAGCAGACTTAATTTGTTCCTTATTTCCTGCTGTCTGGGTGGTAAAGAGATGAGGAATAGCAGTGGGAATAATGCCCACAGGAGGCAAGGATAAGGCTTGGTATTAAAGGAAAACACCCAATGGCCTTAACTTCACCCAGCTACTGCATGGCTGTTGGTCACCCAGCTGCTGAATCAGAAATAATTTAAATATACTCTTGCCACATCAGCAACAGAACTCTAGGCCAAAATGCGACCCTGTCTGCATTAGGTACCAACATTACAGCTGCCCAAATCACCAGAAGAGACAGGAACAGTTTGTCCACCTCACTCGGCTCAAGGGGAGCCCAGGCTCCACCCGAGAGCAGACCATCAGGCAGGCTTCATTTGCGCTTCTTCTCTTGTGTGCTGGTGAACCAAGAGTCTAGAAGTTTCTTGCTGTAGTACAGCTGCCAGGCATGCACTTGGACCGCCAGTACCAACACCAGGTACATGACAGAAACAGCAGAAAACCCAAAGAGGAAGCGGTAGGCCTTGCCATGGCGGTAGAGTTGCTGTGCGGCAGGGAACATCTCCATGCTGCCATAAATGAGAGGAGCGATGGAGAAGAGCCCCATGCTGATCATGGAGAGCACCAGGTAGCTGATATTGTTACGAGGGAAAGAGAGCAGGCCCAAGAGGGAGGGCGCAATGCTCAGCAAATAGGGGTACTCCCACTGATAAGGCATGGCCACCTGATCATGTGACAAGAGCCTCAGGTGTCCCACGCTCATCTTGGCAACCAGCAGCAGCCATAGGACCAGATGCACGTAGATCAGCTTCTTGATTTCATACTTGAGAGTCACACTGTGGGGCAAAGCACAGGGAGAAGCACCTTTCATTCAAATTCTTCTATCTGCCAGGCAACTGTACTGGATACAAATTTGAATGGCATAGTCTCTGACTGAGGCTGGGCACAAGGAATCAAGAGAAAAAAAACGGCAGAGAAGGCTATCCAGAAGTGGACTGTGTCAGATAGGTTCTCAAGGCTGAGGGAAGATGGTCATTCTACGTGGACAAGAGCATGCATATACAAAAGCGTAAGCAGGGGACCAAGTGGCTGAATATGGCAAGAGCACATGCAGAGGGGTGCCAAAGGACATAAAACTGGAAAAACTTTTTTTTAATTGGTTGTGGGGCTTGAACTCAGGGCATGGGTGCTGTCCTTGAGCCTTTCTGTTCAAGTCTAGCACTCTACCACTTTGAGCACATATCTCCAATTAACCACTAAAAATTGGGAAGTGGCACTGTGGCTCAAAGTGGTAAGGCACTCGCCTTGAGCAAAAGGAGCTCAGGACAGTGCCCAGGCCCTGAGTTCAAGCCCTATGACTGAGTGCGCGCGCGCGCGCGCACACACACACACACACACACCCACACACACACACACACACACCCCGCCACGAGGGAAAAAAAAAAAAGAAATTAAACCCTAAAGAGCTTGTCATTCTTCAAAACTCTGGAAAGATGCTAAGAACATTTTGAGAGAACTCAATGAATTTAAGAAAGAAAAATAGGCTGGGTGCTGGTCACACCTGTAATCCTAGCAATTCAAAAGCCAGCCTGGGCAGGAAAAGTCCCTGAGACTCTTACCTTCAATTAACCACCAGAAAACCAGATGTGGCCCTGTGGCTCAAGTGGCAGAGTGCTCACCTTAAACTGAAGAGCTGAGGGACAGCACCCAGGCCTAGAGTTCAAGCCCCGCGACAGACAAAAAAAGAAAGAAAGAAAAAGAAACCTCTTCAATTTTTTTTAATTTTAAAATACTCGTTTTCGAAGATGTGGAAAACTGAAAAAAATGTCACCTCTAGACTTCAAACTCTTGGATGGCAGGGTCCGATATTGCTTTTTCTCTCTTTAATAATGAACTTCTTTCGTTTTGCACTCAAGAGCCTGGGCGCTGTCCCGGAGCTCCTTTGGCTCAAGGCTAGCGCTCTACCTACCACGGAGCCACAGCGCCACTCCCAGCTTTTCCTGTGCCTGTGGTGCTGAGGAAGGGAACTGCGGGCTTCACGCACGCGAGGCGGGCGCTCTACCCCGGGGCCCCCTTCCCAGCCCCCGAGCTTTTTTCTCTTCCCAGCTCACAGCGCTTACTTACATCCCTGTGCACTAGTTCCAGGTTGCACATCTGACCTGAACGTGGGCCCCTGTCTCGGGCCTGCCTGCCTGCGCTTCACGTGCTTCTTTTCCCTGGTCCTCCAGTACCGAGCGCGGGAGTCGCGGGT